GGTCGTCTTATTTATTAAAACGTTTGAAGTACAAAGTTTTCCTAACTTACACTTTATTTGAAAAGGAAGTGCCAGCTTCCTGTTTTGGTTATAACGAGCGGCTTGAATTTGCGTCACAGAGGGTGATGGAAGTGCTTTATACTAAAATAAATCATGTTTATTTTAAATAATCTACTGCTCCACTTGTACTTGATAATCCCCTGGTACAATCACTTTACGCAGTACATGTGAATTGGAAGTAAGAAAGTATGTTTAGGTTAAAAAAAAAATTGACCCAGGGTTGTCGAACCGGTTAACATTCGATCAGTCAAATGATAAAAATAGGATTTTTACAATCTTAGCATTGCACATGTCAGATAGCGAACATTTGCCATTACTGCCTAAGCAAGTTAAACGCTTCAACAATTATGGCGGATGGAGCAAATTGAATTATTTTCCTATATTTGCAAATTTTCTGCCGATTTCGTTATGGGTCTAAGTTTTGCATTGTTGCTTCTCCACATCTGTATAAAACTAGGTATTTATCAATAGTGAGTAGAAATATAATAAGCTTAATTACAATTTTAACACATACGACTAAAAAGTTCCACCTTGGCCAACTTGCCTTCTACACATGAGATAAAGGGAGATTTGCCTGCAACTAACACCTGGAGTAACAGAGGAGGAGCTGAAGAAATAACCTAGCTAGTACAGTTCACAAATCTCTCCCGTGAAAACACGTTAGCCTACGATTAAGGATTGTCTGAATCAATATAAGTATTTATAACATCTTTTTTACCTTAAACTTGGGGTGTGCGATAGACTTACATCCACGTAGTGCACCTTGGGCAAAGTATACACATAAGGCAAAGAAGTCTATAAACCGGCAGTTGACTTCTCACTTCAAACTACCATGACTACATTCCGTGTCATATTTGATCTCTTCCACAGTACTCATCTTACCTTTTCTCTGACTGTGTGTATGTCTGTCTCCTTTACATCTGTGAATCATTCTAAGGTTCTCCTCTCGAATTGCTCCCAATATGTTGTTAATGGCAAATGATGACCATCAAAATGCCTTCATTTTAAAAAAATAAATAAAAACCCTAAACTTTTTAGCACATTAATGTCACATAAGAAAGAAGCCGACCAATCAACAGTGGGAAGATATCTTGAGTTAAGTTGTTCTTTTCTATGGATTGAAGGCAGACTTTAATTAAAATAGTATTGAATGCGTAAATTTTTCAATAATATTATTGTAATTTTATATTAAATTTAATTACCTTCACTTAATTCACTCTCATGAACATGCTAGAAAGAACGGGTTAAGTACGGGATGTCATTCTCATATTGTTTAACGATTACTTATGATTTGCCCCACAGCACAAGAGGCTATGCTTGCGTTGGGTTAACGGATGCTAATTTGAGAGGTTAAAATATTTAGGCTGCTAAAAGAACCAAAATGAGTTGTTTTTTTGCGAAATGAAACGTTTCCTTGGCCGTCTTACCCACAAGTGGCCAAGGTAACCCCGAGTGACGTAATAATTGCGATCATCTGACGAGGAAGAATACTTGGCCTTGGTAATGTGATAAACATTTTTCGGGCAAGACAAAGTCTCATCTTTGAGAAACTAACTTTAAGAAATGGGAAAGATAGGACTTAAAGTATGTGAGAAGATTTGGATAAAGTGATACCCCGTTAGGTGCAAGCCCCAAAAATTATTGCTACTAAGTGTTTAAAAGTAGGTTTGCCCAAACGACCATAGTAGTCAAAGCACCAATTTAATCTTAAAGCCGAAAATGAAATTAAGTGCAAATAGTGGGGGGCTGAAAAATAACGGTAGTAAAAGAAATCTCCAAAACACTTATTCCATGGATCAATTTTAATAAATCGATGCAGAAAATACACAGAAGGTAAATTGAATTTAATTGAATTATACGCGGAATTCGATTAACCTTCAGTCTTTAGATTTTAAACAGATTGTTCTGTTTCAACACCAGAACCATTAAATTTAGAAAATATAATATATTCTAGTGGTCCATACTCCTTAGAATTGTTTTCTCTGTATGAAGCCCAGTCAAATTAAGGATTCGCATTTTAGAAATTGCACTGATATGGCAGAGTAGAAAACCGGCGAACACAATGTTATAAGTTAAAAATAGGTACAAAGAGGAAGTAAGATAATATATGTTGACAAATAGGGGTGTGCGATAGACTTACCTCCACGTGGTGCACCCTGGGCAACATATATTCATACGTCAAAAAAGTCATTAAACCGGCAGTTGACTTCTTACTTCAAATTACTATGACTCCACTCTATGCCATATTTGATTACTTCCACAGTTCTCATCTTACCTTTTCTCGGCCTTTGTGTCCACCTGTCTCTTTTATACCTTTGAATGACTCTTCTGTTCCCCCTCTCCACTTTTTCTCACTTTGATATTCCTCTCCTCTGTAAAGCCTGAAGTCAGTTAAAGAACTAATGATAAGTATCGTGAAGCCCGCCATTTAAAATAAATAAATAAATGTTGTGAAATAGGGAGAGCAATTTTTGTTCCAGTGTTCATTTTCATATAAATCTTTAAGATGGCGTACTTGCGTATATCTCATGTCCTGAGTTCTCATTGGTCCATTTAAGCCTGCATACACGAGTGACAATATGAAGCTAATAAACCATATTTTCATTGTGTTTTCACTGCGTAATTTGTCCGGATAACACCAGCGCATCGGCTTTGTTGAAAATTCAATCTTGATACTATGCAGCGAGTTCAAAAAATATCTGAATTACTTTCTAATGATTTAAGCACAATTTATCTTGTTCTAATAGCTTTGTGGAGAAAATACGAAATTGAAACTCGGTTGATTAGATGTAACACAATTAAAAGTTAATGAAGCAGACTGTGAACCAGCTGGATACTTCAGATCTAATGCGTCTCACAGTTCGTTACAACAATTCTGGACTAATATGGTCTTTGCATTAATAATATACACTTAATGATTCACTCAATTGAAGATGGAAGGCTCTCGATTTCCAACTTGTCATTTTGGTTCCCTGTGAACTGGTTGCCACCATTAATTGGCTTGACAATTTGTAAAAGATGGGATTTTTGATATCCGAAAATCGAGTTTCATTCAGAAGACTCTATGATCCCTAGACACATTACTGAAAATTATTTAACGCTGCCACATTTACCAATCAATTATGAAATCTTAAACAGACTTTTTAGCCTCCGTTTTTATGATTTTATGTTGATATCTTTCCCATTATGACTCAGCCCTATATGGCATGTCTGGAATCTATCGTCCCCACCCCCCCCCTCTCCCAACTATAATAACTTTCGCTCTTATTTGAAGGTACGCCTGTACTCGTCTCCTCGCTCGAGTCCTTGCCCAGATGACTAAGATCACACACACGCACTCGTCCCTTATCTGCCCATTGACTTCTCACCCATCTCCTCTCTTCCTCATAATCCATTCGATGCACACTAGCCCCACAATTTGTGACTTTTGTTCGTTGGCCTTAGCCGTTAGCCCTGCCTCTACGAGGAGGTTCTATTTCATAAACTCCTGACTTGGTTTTCACACTATTTCTAATAGTATTCACCTTTCTGATTGTCAATAACTTCATCAATTAGTTCCCCTGGTCCAACACTTTAATCTCGTTGTGTTTTGTAATCGTTTCAGAAGCGGTTTCACTGGTTGTGCTTAGCATAACTTCTACAGACAGATGCTCATGGTATGATCAAACACTACAGGATCCTACTGAAACAGGGAAATTCATATGATCTACTCTGAATTTTAATCAATTATTCAATTACCTTTGCAAATTTTATCCAACAACAACACAAACCTCCTTCACAACATTAATGGGGTTTCACACTTTGTGCCTTCACTTCTCTCTCTCTCTCTCCAGAGAGATCTTATTTAATTATTGCATGCATTAACAAGGTGGTACATTGCTAGCTTTGAGTACTTCTTGTTAATGGAAAGCTCCATACTCACCTTCTTCTCTTCTCTTTGCTATAACGGAACTAGCACACTTCACTTTGTGTAAATATGCCCCCTCCTTTTCATCCCACGCTATAATACCACGTTAATCAAATCATTTCGTGCATGAATTCGCGAGGCGTTGATGAGATTTCAGAGATTAATAAGAGCACGAACCAAAGTGCTTTCAATGAGGTAATTTTAGCCTGCCTCATTCACTGTCTATTTATGGAACAGCCTCGCTTAGGTACCATGATGAAAGAATATGATTTCACTTTGCAACTTCGAATGTGCATTCATTTCTTCCTGCACATAAATAATTATGATTATCGAGAAATTGCGCATTTTGAGCTAAGTTCAAGTCAACATTAATTTGATTAAATAATCTCCTATTTTCTTGCTAATATCAAGAATGCATTTTGGGGTCGGTTTGCTCAAAATATTGCTTTCGAGTACAACGAATAAATATGCCAATTTTTCAGTTGAATTTAAACGCTTTGAGAAAGCAGTCATGCCTTCAAATACTCATTTATTATTAAAAGGAAAGACTGTCTGAAATCGAATTCATATGTAGCCTCAGCTGCAAAATGCTCCTTTCATCAAATAGCCCTTCATCTGTTTCCACTCAAATAGGGAAATAACAATTGATTAGTTATATAAAATGATATTTATTTCACTTAAATAAGCTTAATTAATTGACTTTTAAGGTGTACTAACAGAAATCAATGCATAATTTGATCTTAGTTAGTCATTTTAACGTTCTCAACTAAGCAATAAAGTAGTATGCGCCTTCATTGAATATAAGCAATAAAGCACTTAGCAAGCACACAGCCTACCCTTGAAGATGAGATAGATGCGTCATCGCGTCGACCAATGAATTGCCTCTGGCATAGCTCTTGCCTCTAGTAAGTAAGCAACCCCTATAAATCTCATCAGGTGGATACTTGCTCAACTCTCGACAACTTTCTCTCTCTCACACACGCGCACACATACACACACAGGAGAGCGTTCATATACTCGAGGAAAAGAAAAGATGAATGCCGACGAGGCAGTTCCTGTTGTTATTGATAATGGATCTGGCATTAGTAAATCCGGCTTTGCTGGAGAGGATTCACCCCGTTCCATCATTCCTTCGGTGATTGGTCGACCCAAATACGAGTCAGTTATCAGAGCAATCTCCGAAAAAGACTCCTACATTGGCGATGAGGCGCAGTCTAAAAGGGGAATGCTCTCTCTTAAGCACCCAATAGAACATGGGTATGTCACTGACTGGGAGGATATGGAGAAACTCTGGAATCAAATCTTCTACAATGAGCTTCGTGTTTCGCCAGAGGAACATCCTGTGCTTCTCACTGATCCTCCCCTAAATCCTAAAGCTAATAGAGAGAGAATGGCGACAATTATGTTTGAAACATTCAACGTTCCTGCAATGTATATCTCACTTCAGGCTGTTTTGGCTCTTCATGCTTCAGGAAGGATGACTGGTTTGGTTCTGGATTCGGGAGAAGGAGCTACACACACAATCCCTGTCTATGAGGGCTATTCTATCTCTTCTGCAATTGACAGGTTAGATTTAGCCGGCAGAGAGGTAACCGAGTATCTGATGAGGCTTCTTCGTGGCCGTGGAAATGCTTTCCGCTCGACTTCGGAGAGAGAAGTAGTTCGAGAAATAAAGGAAAAATTGGCTTATGTTGCTCTTGATTATGAGGATGAAATAATCAAAGCGGAAACGACTTGTGAGATTGAAAAGGATTATGAACTTCCAGATGGGAATATCATTACATTGGGAAGTGAGAGATTTCAGTGTGCTGAGGCCTTGATGAGACCGGAGTTAATAGGAAAAGAATGTCCCGGACTCGCGGACTCCATTTACCAATCAATTAAGAAGTCAGACATGAATACACGCAGGGATCTTTATCACAACGTAGTTCTCTCTGGTGGTTCAACAATGTTTCATGGAATGGCAGAACGACTGAAAAAGGATATTTCCGACATGGCACCCTCGTCGATGAATGTAAGAATTATTGCTCAGCCTGAGAGGAAGTATTGTGTCTGGATAGGAGGATCAATATTGGGCTCTCTGTCTTCCTTCAGAAAGGTTTGGATTTCAAGGGAAGAATATGAAGAGGTGGGTCCAGGTATTGTGCATAAAAAGTGCATGTAGGAATATCATCTTCGGTTTTCCCCAACTCACTCCCCCCCCCCCAACCCCCCTCCCCTCCAAACCCATTTATGCACCATCTTGTATTTCCATGAACTTTCCCAAACTTCTGATCTCGTGTTATTGCCGCTGCTCCAAGTTTGGCATAGCGCTATCTTTGAGCAGTTTTTCTAGAAATAAAAATAAAACTCCTTCTGCTTTACAGTCTGACAGCTGAGTTGAATTAATCCCCCTCCAGCATGTCATGTTATCAAAAGCTCTAGGCATCTGATACATTTAAATATCAATTAAATAAAATGCAGATTTGATAATTAGACAAAAATCTTTCAGTCTTATTCTAACTGTTTCGCAAACTTGTGAGTACTTGTTTTAAATGGAAATTGTCGTATCAACTATAAGTCATTTACGAATCCAATTACTATTGCAATTTATGGCAATTAAACGACCGATAAATTTTATTGGAGAAATGAGTTTTTCACAGTTGTTACATAATGACGAACCTCCCGTTTCCATGCCCGAGATGATTGAGCCTGAAATTCAGCAAAAGAATGTTCTGTCGGTTTATTTACGAGATTTAATTAAGTGCAGGACTAGGAGGTCGAGAGAGAATTATTTAAATACGACGGAATAAGACTTGTCAGAGATAATAATGAGTTAAAATCGCTAAATATTAAACCCAAAATGATAAATAAATTACCATCGCCTGATATCGCTCGTAAAGCAGGTAATCCAAAATTCTCAAGAACCTTAAACACTGCATTAGAGAAATTAGAGTCCTACTCGTCGTATTGCCTCTTTAGGGCGGTATTTGCCATCTCATTACAATAACCACATGTCTTCTGAGAGCTGGGGTGGGTAGGGGGGGTGGGGGTTTGATTTTAAAGGTTCGCCTTAATAAATCTTTATTTGGAAACACCTTGTGAATATGACAAGTTGACATGAAGAATGGAAGCAGCAAGAAGAATCAAAAACCCATATTTATATGTTTGGGGCGTGAACGATGGAAATACCTGAAATATCATGGATAGTTAAATCGATTATACCTCCGATTGGTTCATTAGCTATCCGCATTGGCCTACTGTGATTGGTGCCAATTACTGCGGTACACAATGTCAGCTTTGCCTGGTGAATTAATATGTAGCTCGTGTTTAATGACAGCGGTGTAAGCGGAACCATTTGAGAAAAAAGGCTGCCCTGAGCGAATAACACAGAAACAAGGAAAAACCCCATCACAATGGGAATTTCTAAGCAGGACAAAGCAAAATCAAATAAAGGATATGGCAGATGGAGGTTAGTTAAATGAAATTTACTGTTAAGTATGTCTAAGTGAGATGAGTACTTAATGTAAGGCATCTAACCGTGGAAATTTCGATGAGTATGGGCAATATTAGCCGAATTAGGCAGTTGGCTTAACTATTTTTTAATGGTCAAATTTGGCTGTATTTGAGTAGAGAATTTTTCTCACCTCTATCAAGTACAATTAGCGTTCTTTTTCTTAATTGACCTTGAAGGTTTAAAATTGACGGGTTTGCCACCCGGTTGCAATTCTTTTTCAAGTGGTACCCTTCACCAAATAAGATGTCATTAAAGTGAACTTGGAGCCACACTGATAAAAGAAACAGATAGATACAATCTTCTAAATATAATAGCATGTTTCAAGCACCTTGCCAATACTTTTAAAGTTTGAAACCACGCCAGCGCCAGGGTGAAAACTCAAACACAGCACGCAAAAAATACTACTGAAAAGGCTTGACCAATGGGGAAGCCAAATACAGTAGTTTAGAGTGGTAGTCGACTCGATCAGGATCTATGCTCATCTTCATGGTAGTTCAAAGTGGTCATTTGAAATCTTTATATCTCGCGGTCCATATTTCCATCTTGTATATAACCTAAAGACTCCAATTTGGCTTATCATATAAACTTGCTTGGGGTGCGTGATAGACTTCCCTCCACGTGGTGCACCCTGGGCAGCACATACTCATACGGTAAGAAAGTCTATAAACCGGCAGTTGACTCCTGACTTTAAACTACCACAACCCCACCGTATGTCATATTCCACCACTTCTACAATACCCATCTCATCTCACCTTACCGTTTCTCTACCTTTGCATTTGCCTGTCTCTTTTACATCTGTATACTATTCTCCCGTTCCCTCTCGAATTTTCTTCTCTTTGATGTTTCTCTCCTCTAAGAAGCCCGAAGTCAACTAAAGGGCTAATGATGACTATCATAAAGCCTGGAGGTCAACTAAAGGGCTAATGATGACTATCATAAAGCCTGCCATTTAATATAAATATATATTAACTCACCTTATCTATGGGTTATTGTTTGGTGAAAGCCTATTCACACTTCGTTATGGGCAACTTTGTGTAGTGTGCTTCAGAATATGCTTCATCAATACCGCAAGTAGATGGAGGCTTCCAATGTGATATTTACTGTAGAGTAGGGATGTGAGTCGAAAATATGCGTCTTTCTAGAACGCCACTTGAAATTTATACCCCCCAAGAATTTTGTTTTACTACACATTGCTAAATTTAAAATGTCAAATTCTAACTAATTTTGCCTCATTGTATAAGTGCTAGTAGTGCCACCTGCAGGTTATAATTAAATTAAAGAGCTTACTTCAATTTCACCAGTTTATAATAATGACAACAAATTGGTGAAGTCATTGAAATCGTCTCCCCCTGCCTTCTCCCACTTGAGCAACACCTTTTAGCTGATGAGTATCATAGCGCGCAGAAACAGAATATGAAGTGGTGAGTTTTACGCTTTCAACTTTAAAAATAACTGGTAAGTAAGCAGTGGATATCGAAGGAAAGAGCATTCTATGCTATTCCAGTGAACCACATCAAGTGGCTTAAGGACTGACATGTTTACTGCTCATTTAGTGAGCTATATAGTACTAGATGCCACAAATTCACTCCAAGTACCTTGAAATTGATTTCTGAATGGTTTTGCTCAATACTCCTATCATTTACTTGCCACTTACCGAAATTGGAAGACTTAAGAAATATCTCAAATTGTCATTAATAACAATTGTTTATTTGTATCACATGGCAAACTTCATGATAGACATCATTGGCCCTTTAGTTGACTTCGGGCTTCGCGGAGGAGTGGACCATCCAAGCCATAAAAAACCGAGGGAGGAGGGGGGTGGGGGGGGGTATAAAAGAGTGTTTCACATATATAAAAGAGACAGGCACAAAGGTAGAGAAAAAGGTGAGGTGCGTACTGTGGAAGTGGTCGAATATGTCGAAAAGTTGAGCAATGGTAGTTTGAAGCCAACAACCGGTTAACAGACTTTTTGTCGTATGAGTATATGCTGCCCAGGAAACACCACGTGGAGATAAGTCTATCGCGCACCCCTAAATAGCTGTAAAAAAACATCCCAATATCTTCATAATAAAAGTAACCGAATCTTCACACGGTTAGGAAGTTGTGGTTTTACGTTGAGTGAAGCTCGGCTCGCTTTGCTCAATTACTTCCCACCAGGTCAAATTATTACTATTATTTTTAACAATTCATTCTAAAAGCTACCTACTAACTCGTAAAGTAGGTCTTAACTCCAATTTCGCATCAGTCTAATCTTGATTTGACCTTGAACTACATATGATCCCTTTCGAGCTTTGTAAGTTACTTGTACATGTGAAAGGATTAGTTGCCTAATTAAGACATTACCAGAGGTGCAATCGTCCGCATTTTTCAACACGTGCTATTAGCATTTCATTTAGGTGGAATGGGAAGCCTTTTGTGTGGTCCAAAATTGAGAACGATGTAGGTTGGAGGAGGCGTTAGGGAGGGGGTGGTCGATGGCGAGGTGGAAATGGGTTAAGGGCACGCATTTTGGGGGGGGGGGGGGGGGGGGGAGGTGGGGTAGAGAGACATCTAAACTTTGTGCATACATACGAGAGTGAAATACGTGACAAAATCTGATGTGACGAATTGATGACGATTTAGGAAGGACCAGTAGCTATGCACCTTAGTTAAAATCTCCAACCTCCAGCCAAGAAGGTGGCGGATGGAAATATAGTCTTTACAAAAAAAATACCAAGGAAATATTCATCCCACAATCATGGGGCTAAGTAAGTTAACTGCCGTCGTGGAGACAGGGAAAGCAATCTTGATGAAGTTGTTGTTCGAAACTGACAAGGAAGACTACTGATTCCACGGATGCACATTAAGTAGAATTAGATGACATTTGAAACCATGATTAGAGCAAGGGCGTTATGATCACTCTTTTTTTCAATTCGAGTGAACCCTAAACGATTTCAACGCAGTATAAATCTTTAAGTGAATCCATCTATTCTCCACCTCCCCCCTTATTGGCTCGTTGACTTATGAACAAGTTGGAAAGTGAGTTAATGACATTTCACCTCACATGTTGGATAATCTCCAATCGTGGTTGTTTAAATTCGATGGCTTGAGGAGAACCTAATTTCAAACGAATAGAATTATTTATTAATAGCAAGTGGCAGGCTTTATGATAGTTATCATGGGTGTGCGGTAGACTTACCTCCACGTGGTGCACCCTGGGCAACGTATACTCATATGGCAAAAAAGTCTATTAATCAGCAGTTGACTTCTCACTTCAAACTACCAAGACCCCACCGCATTTCATATTCTACTAATTTCACAGTACTCACCTTTTTTCTACCTTTGTGTCTGTCTGTCTGTCTCTTTTACGTCTGTGAATCATTATTCTGTCCCCCTCTATCGACTTTTTGCCACTTTGGTGTTCCTTTTCCTTTCTGTGAAGCACGAAGTCAACTTAAGGGCTAATGATACCTATCATAACGCCTGCCATTTGAAATAAATAAATATGATAGTTATCATCACCCCTTTAGTTGACTTCGGGCTTCACTTCAAAGTCGCAAAAGTGGAGAGTTGGGGTGGAGGGTGGGGGAGGACAGAAAAGTGATTCACAAATGTAAAAGGGGCATATACAAATGTAGGGAAAAAGGAAAGGTGAGTACTGTGGAAGTGGTCGATTTGACATACAGTTG